CGCCCCCTACGCAGAGTCACCCTCGCCCCCAGCGCGTCATTCCCCCCCCCCCGCCACGCGCCCATCACCCCCCCCCCCTCCCATCCTACGCCCCCACGTACACCAACCCCAAATCGCCCCGCCCCACCTGCAGGCCTTCCACAATGGCTTGGGCCCCTTTATAGAGCACGTGTTCCAGCCAGATTTTGCACACGCCCTCAAGATGACGCTGATGCTGGCGGCCGTCAGCGTGCCCCTCAACTCGGTCTTCGGCACTGTGGCCGCCATCCTTATCACGCGCAACGAGTTCCCCGGGAAGGTGCGTGCCAGTCACGGCTGCGGCTTGCTGGTCACCCGGCGGCAAGGTTTTGCCAAGTGAGGCGCGGCTGCCCCCTCGATGTGCCAGCCGAGGAAACGCTTGCAGAACATCTGCTGACCGCTGTGCACGGCGGCCGGAAGATTTTTGCAGGCGGCTCAGCTTCAAGCTTTGCAGCCGACTGCTGCTGCTTGGAGGTTCCTCTGGCGGCGCGTCCCTGGAGCCTCTGGTGCTGTCACCAGTCAGCCACCCTCTTCACGATGTCCTCTCGCCGGCCACGTGTGCAGGTCCTGCTGCTGTCCCTGCTGGACATGCCTTTCAGCATCAGCCCAGTGGTCACGGGCCTCATGCTGACCCTGCTGTACGGCAGGTGAGGGGTCAGGCGCGTCACGTGGCCGTTTGTGCGTCATGGCTGTGACCGTCATCGCGTGTGTGAGGTGTTTGTGCGTGTGCGCATGAGCTGGCGTGAACATTGTTTGTGTGTGTGTGTGTGGGGGGGGGGGTGAACTCACATTGTTGGTGTGTCAGAGAGTGTGTGTTTGCGAGGAAGGGAGCATCTGTGCTTGCGCGCTCATCAACGAGAGTGTGGTGTGTGCGTGTGTATGTGTGATGTGTGTGCGTGTGCGTGTGTGCACGCGCGCATGCGCACGCGCACGTGCACGCACGCGCGAGTGTGTAAGCGTGGCGACACCTCGTCACTCACTCCTCGCTCACACCCCTTGAAAACTGCCAGGTCTGGCTGGTTTTCATCATTCCTGGCTGAGCACGGCTTCAACATTGTGTTCGCGTTCCCTGGTGGGTGATGGGCGCGGCTTTCCGACACAGTACGGCTGGGAACTGACAAGCGCCGCTGCAGCAGCGCGCGCGCCGGTTGCAACCAGTTGTTTGCAAATGCACACTCCTGGTCGGCACGCATCTACGCACACGCACACACGTGGACATAAAGCGTGCACACACTCATGCGCGCGGTCACTCACACACCCCAACACCCGTCTTTTCAACTCCGGCCAGGCATGGCGCTGGCCACCATGTTTGTGACGATGCCCTTTGTTGTGCGGGAGCTCATCCCGACGCTGGAGCAAATGGATCTCTCCCAGGAGGAGGCCGCCCGCACACTGGGCGCCAACCCGCTGCAGGTACGGACGGCGCTGAAAGGGGGGGCCGGCGCCACCGCCTGGTCAGTGTTTGGCTGGTTTGGGAGGCTGCGCTTGCAACGTACAATATCAAGATACGCCAGGGGTTGAGCGGCGAGGGGGGTACTTGGCACGTAGGGATGGTTGTCATGACCAAACTCCCTAATATGGCTTGTAGGCTTATGCAGATCGGCCCTTATTGCAAGCGCGTATATTGAATTTGTCACCAAATAGGGATTCCTGTCGACTCGCGCGATCATCCGCCAGGTGTTCTGGCACGTGACGCTGCCCAACATCCGCTGGGGGCTTATGTATGGCATCATCCTCACCAACGCGCGCGCCATGGGCGAGTTCGGCGCGGTCAGCGTAATCTCAGGTGCGGGACCCGGGAGTTTCTTGTGCAGGGTGCGTGCATGGTTGCGCAGCGTTTGCGGGTCCTGTAATCAAACAGGGAGCGCCCAGCCGCACAGGGCGTGCGCATGGGGCCTGGACGGCAGGGGCCGTGCGAGGACGCAACGCGTGATACCTTGGAACGTGCAAGCGCACTGCTAGAGAAGGGTGCGATCAAACCTGAACCGACTGACTGCACGAGCCTCCTTGCTGACTCGATCACTGCATGGGTTGCAGGCAACATCATCGGCAAGACTCAGACGCTGACGCTGTTTGTCGAGAGCGCCTACAAGGAGTACAACACGGAGGCCGCCTTTGCCGCCGCCGTGCTGCTGTCGCTGCTCGCGCTGATGACGCTGTGGGTGAAGGACCGCGTCGAGAAGGCGGCCGCGGCCGAGGCCGCAAAGTGAAGACGTGATCAGCGGCTTTGGGGGGTGGGCACCCATCAGCAGCAGCAAGGTGTGGGACTTCGCCTTCCCTACATCATTATCGCGTGAGTTTTGCAAAATCCTGTTAGTGCCATGTACAGACGCGCATACGGTAATGAAGGTGCCCTGTCGCAAGGGCTCCGACTTGATATTTTGGTGGGCCTGTCTGGTCTGTTGGTGTTCAAAGGTGACGAGCTGTTCAAAGATTGCAGCAAACTTGTAAGTGCTTCGCTGCAATAAGAATTGAACGACATCCTGCTGAGGCTTCATGATCATGATCGTGACGAGCGAAGGGCTGGGGCTCAAGCAGTAGAACAAGGACTTATCAAAGCTGCCTTCGGTGTGAACGAAGCAAGGACCTTCGAGCTCGTGAGCAATTTCGAGCGATTTCGATTCGTTGTTCGCGCGCGCGCGCTGTGTGCCACGCCGGCACTCCGTGATTCCAGCATCATGTGATTTTTTGCACCAAATCAGCGCTCGGACCAGCCCGTGGCCAAAGCCTGCAACACCGGCGCGAGCGTCTGGCAGCGCCTACGCGGTCCAAAGCACGAGGGTTCAAGCTGCGTCATCGCGCCCGTGCGCACCTGCACGCGCAGACGTGTTTGGTGCTGGGGCGATCGGACCGCAGGTGCAGGTCTTGCGCGAGGCGGGCCGCGTGCCGCGCCGTAGGATCGCGAGTCCCCTTGGGATCTGCGCACGCAGGGCCATGCAGTGGCGCGGGACCCTGGTTCACGCAGCGAGAGCAAACGACACATTCAGCAGACGCCGGCGCGGGCCAGCAGGTCTGAGCCGGTGACATGGCGGCGGTCATGCCGAGACCACCCGCCCCGGGCGCGCCCGCGGGCGTCCGCAGCTGCGGCGCACGGCCTGCGTGCGGCAGCGACCCTGGCGGCGGCAGCGCCGGCAGCGGCCGCGCGTGCGCGCCGTCAGAAGCGCGGGCGGGTGCGCCGCTGGCACAGCGTGCAGAAGCGAGGTGCGCCCGCGAGGGGTCGCAAGCTGCGTCAGGCGACGCTGCGAGCGCTGTGCCTGGATCTGCAGGGCAGGATCACCGCACTGCACCCAACATCACGGGCAGCATGGAGGCTGACAGGGACGGCGCCGCAGAGGCGCTCACACCCGCCGACGCGCCCGCGAGAGGGACGGGCCAGGAGCCGCAACCTCAGCTGCAGCAGGTGCAGGCGCGGGTGCCACCACCCGCGCTCAAGCGCCACCAGCCTCCTCGGCCCGTGGCCAAGGGCGGCCACAATGGTGCGCCGGCCCCCAACACCAATGCAGCTGCCCTGGCCGCGGCTGTCGCGGCCCAGGCGGGGCCGGCCAAGCTGCCGGATCTCAGCGTGCAAGCAGCCCTGAGGAGCGGCCTCAAAAGCGGTGCGGGCGGCGGCAAGACCAATAGCGTTGCCGCCGGCAAGGGCGGCGGCACCACCAAGAGCGGCAAGGGCGCCGCAGGCGCGCTCGCGCCGCCGCAGTCTCAGTCGTCCGCGGCCGCCGCGGCGCTGGCGGCCGCGAAGCTTGGCCTGGCCGACCAACTGAGCGCCGCGCTAGCGCAGCACGCGCCGCCCGGCGCGGGCGCGAGCGCGGGCCCCGACAAGCAGGCCGGCGCAGGGGCCCCTGCGCCGCAGCCCGCGGCCAGCCAGCAGGTCGCCGGGCGGCCCGCGGCCGGGGC